TCAAATAGCCTCGGCTATCACCTCATTATGTCCGGTCGTGATGGTCAAGTGGATTAAGGCGTCTTGTACATACCAGTTGCGTTGCTTCTGGGAGTATGGGTTCGAGTCACTTCTGGGGTGTGAGTTTTCAGTTGCATATTGTCCTGGGGACCATTCAGGCTTGTTCGCATTTGTGTTCCTCACGTGTGCCCCAAAGAATGAGGTGATTTGGTAAAATGCTATGCCCAAGATTACTATCCGAGTGCCGGCGGTGGGGTGGTTCAAATAGCCTCGGCTATCACCTCATTATGTCCGGTCGTGATGGTCAAGTGGATTAAGGCGTCTTGTACATACCAGTTGCGTTGCTTCTGGGAGTATGGGTTCGAGTCACTTCTGGGGTGTGAGTTTTCAGTTGCATATTGTCCTGGGGACCATTCAGGCTTGTTCGCATATATATATATATATATATATATATATATATATATATATATATATATATATTATAATAAATGCAAAAACTTACACACTCTTGTAACCTTCAATTAGCAATGTGTTCTTCAGGAGATCGAAGGGGATGAAGAACATTAACATGCACTGGCGACCTTACTGGCTGACCTGCGCGCCCTGTCACCTGACCTACGACGTCATCTCCCAGGTGGAGACCTTGGACCAGGACCAGGAATACGTCATCCGGGAGCTCGGCCTCCAGGACAAACTCTTCAACCTTCATAGTCACTCTTCCAAGTGAGAGCACACGCAGGCTGCCCAACCACATGGACGAGCGGTGACCTCGCTTCTTGCAGGGTCAGCGTTCGAGCCCCAGTGGTCAAAGCGGTTGGGCACCGTTACTTCATCCAGTCCTTGTATCTTAGATCATTGTCCTCATAGCCTTGCCAAAGCTTTATCGTCATATCGGCTGAGGTCTTTATCCAGATTTACACACACTACAAAACACATATTGTAGCATAGTCGTCTACGTTTTGGGCTCACAACCAAGGGACTCTGGTTCAGTGCCTGGTACACACAGGTGACACACACGTGTCCAGTTCACTGCCCGGGACACACAGGTGACACACACGTGTCCAGTTCACTGCCCGGGACACACAGGTGACACACACGTGTCCAGTTCACTGCCCGGGACACACAGGTGACACACACGTGTCCAGTTCACTGCCCGGTACACACAGGTGACACAGGTGACACACAGGTGACACACAGGTGCCCGTACCAATATCTCGGGACATTCAAGAGACCCCGATACAAAACACAGCCAACACACTCGTAGAGTTTCACAACAAATACAAAAATTAATCATAATGATTACTGGGATTTCAAGTGTAAGAACAGTAAGATAAAGATAGCAATACCTAGAAGCTCCGCCCAGGGTCATACAACTGTTAAGGCCCAGCTAAATATTGTTCCTCGTTGATTGACAAGTAGAGACAATGAAGTTATTTCCAACTTGATTGTTTCCAATTGACCATCCAGTGCTAAACATTACTGTAACTTAGATATCTAACACCTGCATAATAACTTCCCTCACCTGCATATTGACTTCCTAAACACCTGTATGTTGACTTCCTAAACACCTGTATATTGACTTCCTAAACACCTGTACAATAATTTAGATCTCAACATCTGAATAATAACTTCCCAACACCTACATAATATCTCCCAACAAACACCTGGTCCCACATGGGTCACCAGGTCTATATATAGTTGCCTTTCCAGGTAACACTTCACATGTTCTGCCACAGTAACGCCACCCCCCTTACACCCTTTAACTCCATTGTTTACTTCTTGTTTAACTCCTTGTGCCACTCCGTAAAAAACGCAACTGTTTTGCCAAGCCAGAAACGTGCTAACAATTGCATCCTGAGTTATCGAGGCAAATATAAATAATACGTCAATAATATGGTGCTTTAATTTTTATTAATAGGTCATGTTTTTTAACGGATTGGATAATTCCGACCAATCAGGTGAGAAGACAGGTCTGAGAATTAGCCTATCAGCTGTCTACGAGAACGATAATATTGACGTTTTCTATGCCTGGGCGTCGATGGGTTGGGTGGGGTGGAGAGGTTAGTGCGTGTCTGGCTAGGTTACCTTGAGATTACCTTGAGACAGTTTCGGGGCTTAGCGTCCCTGCGGCCCGGCCCAGGCCTTCTCATTGCTGGACTGGTCAACCAGGCTGTTGGACGCAGCTACTCAGCTAGGGACAACAGTTGCATTTTTAACGGAGTGACAAATGGCGAGGTGCCCCAGTGACCTGGTTGATGTGTTTACAGCTTCGACGTGTTCAATGGGACGAGCGCTGCCACCCGCCACTACTACAGCACGGTGCCCCTGGCACTCCTCCAGGAGCTCGTCCAGTACTACAAGTACGACTTCGATCTCTTTGGCTACTCTCCCGAGCCTTACTACAAGATGGCTCTCCAACCCGACCAAGCAAACCTCCTCTGACGCCACCATTCAACATTCAAACACTTGTATTTATATTAATATATATTAGTATATTTTGGTAGCGGTCTTTCTTTTACAAACATATTTCGTTGGAAAAGACAATGTTTTAGATTTATGATTCTGGCACGAATCTTCTCGATATTTATATGTTTTTCGACACTGAATCAATTGAAAAATCAACTCTCCAAAGTTAATTTTTAAACTTTTTCATGAGTATGACACCTAGTGATGCGTTACCAAGGTCACTCCTTACCTTCTCAAAAACAAATTCTACCGTGTTGTTGTTGTTGTTTTAGATTTAGCTACACAGAACGAAATATCCAAGTAGCACGGGCTATGGCGAGCCCGTAATTCACAATACCGTGAATTACCATACCGTGAATTCTACAGTGCATAGCGTCGGGTTTTATCCTCTTAAGGTGAGATGGTTACGTAACAAATGGATAAATAGGTAACATATGGATGAATGGCATTACATAAGGGATATGTAATGCTGGGGGGGGGGACACACACTCCCCACTTCAAGACCCCGGGCCAACGCAGAGGCAGAACCGAATAACCCAGCCACAGGAACGGAAGCAACATATGCTGCCAACATGTTAAACTCTATGTTGATACATTTAATACCCGATCAATACCCCCCATGTAATGCCATTCATCCGTATGTTACCTATTCATCCATATGTTACCTGACCACCTCACCTTAAGAGGATAAAACCATGCGCTAAGTACGGTAGAATTTGTCTGAGAGTGTAAGGAGAGACCTTTGCGAAACGCATCACTAGGCGTCAAACCTAATAAAAAGTGTAAAAATGAACTTTGGAGAGTTAATTTTTCAACTTCCTGCTTCAGTGAAGAAAAACATGAGAAATATCGAGAACATTCGTGCCAGAATCATAAATCTAAAACTTTTGTCATTTTCAACTAACGTTGAAAATATGAGAGAGAGAGAGAGAGAGAGAGAGAGAGAGAGAGAGAGAGAGAGAGAGAGAGAGAGAGAGAGAGAGAGAGAGAGAGAGAGAGAGAGAGAGAGTGTGTGTGTGTGTGTGTGTGTGTTTTCCCTGCAACACGACTCGCCAATCGGTTAACAACCACGTACCCAATTAATGCTGGGTGAACAGGGGCTGACAGTCAAGAATTGGCACCCAGTCAATCCTCCCTGGTTAGGCCTAACCTAGACAAATTCGTATTTTTTAATTAATTACTAAGATTAAGTGCTACAAATGTGATATTTAGTTTAAATTTGATTAATATACGGCTGGGCGAAACCTGTGCATCTTTCCTTATTCATGACGGCTTTGTTTACATTTCTTGAACAGTTTATGAACTGCGAAACACCACGAGTTTGTTATTAGGTTGTCAATTTTCCCAGCTGATGAACTGTTGGACAAATGTAAACACAGCCGCCATGATCAAGGTGTACAGGTCTCCCAGGAGCTGCTCTCAGTCTGCCACAACAGCTTGCTGTTACGAAGGAGAAGACTGCCACCAATGTTATGTTATCTATTTATATTTCAATGTATACTGCAGTCACTGTAGCAGATCAAAGGATGGGTATGGTGGCCACTACCGTCCACGGGATGGGTATGGGGTCCCCTACCGCCCACGGGATGGGTATGGTGGCCACTACCACCCACGGGATGGGTATGGTGGTCACTACCGCCCACGGGATGGGTATGGTGGCCACTACCGCCCACGGGATGGGTATGGTGTCCACTACCACCCACAGGATGGGTATGGTGGTCACTACCGCCCACGGGATGGGTATGGTGGCCACTACCGCCCACGGGATGGGTATGGTGGCCACTACCGCCCACGGGATGGGTATGGTGGCCACTACCGCCCACGGGATGGGTATGTTGGCCACTACCACCCACAGGATGGGTATGGTGGCCACTACCGCCCACGGGATGGGTATGGGGTCCACTACCACCCACAGGATGGGTATGGGGTCCACTACCACCCACAGGAAGGGTATGGGGTCCACTACCACCCACAGGATGGGTATGGGGTCCATAATAAAGGACTAAAATAAATGTACTTATTTAAATACAATAGTTATGTTTTATTTGCGTTGTTTTTATAACCCAGACCGGGCTCGGGCTCGGGAGGTAGAACTCTTGAAACACTCTCCAGGTATGAGAAAATCGGTAGAAGCCGTAATGAGGATTCGAACCTATGCTCTGGGTTACTCCCAAGCACATGCCTTAAACGAGGAGATCGCGACATGGTCAAAAGGATTCCAACCTTGGATTCTACAGAATCCACGAGAGTTCCTGAGGCTTCGACTGAAGCCGAACCACAGTTTCACACAAATCACCCTCCCCCTCTCCTTCCTTCCCCTGAGCGCAGAAAGCACGCAAGCAACGAGACCCAACCAGGTTCGATTCTCACTTGTTCTCACTTGCTGCCTCTTCTTAACCTAGCAACAAATGGGTTCCTGGAGATTGAATTCATCAAATTGTATTTTCCTCCCTGGTAGCAACTTCAGGATCAAGTGCGATATATAATGTGAGACATTTGACCGGGATCTAGGAACAAGAGAAGATCTTGTTCTTTATATATAATTTTATAATATATAAAGCTTTTTATATTCAACTATTCTTCCCGAATCATTCGCTTGTGAACCCCAGACAATATTTGCTTCGCGATTAATGTTACGGGGACTTTAGGTGTTCACTGAAAATATATATATTGGTTGTTGAAAATATATATATATATATTGGGTGTTAGCACCTCGCTCTCTGCAAGCAATATGAAAAGACTGGTCTATATGATGCACAGGTCTGGTGTTTTGAACACATTAAAAGTACCCGTTCATTTTAGTTACAAGAGAATATTTCCTCTGAATTAAAAACAACAAATTGGTTTCAACTGCGTGAAATTTCTAAACAGAATCTAAATGGTTTTTCAAACCAACACTTTCAAAATATAAAACATAAGCATTTCATTCCTCTAAAATATTACCCACAAAATGTCCTTGTGGGACAGATAAAATGTACCGCGATAAACTCTTCCATAACGCAGAGCTACACTGCTGCTACCTTCACAGTTGTGCCCTTGTGTGTGTAATTGTGCCTTTGGTGGCACACATCATAAACAACAAACTACAAAATCGCCCAACAAAAAAACTACAAAATCGCCCAACAAAAAAACTACAAAATCGCCCAACAAAAAAACTACAAAATCGCCCAACAAAAAAACTACAAAATCGCCCAACAAAAAAACTACAAAATCGCCCAACAAAAAAACTACAAAATCGCCCAACAAAAAAACTACAAAATCGCCCAACAAAAAAACTACAAAATCGCCCAACAAAAAAACTACAAAATCGCCCAACAAAAAACTACAAATCGCCCAACAAAAAAACTACAAAATCGCCCAACAAAAAAACTACAAAATCGCCCAACAAAAAAACTACAAAATCGCCCAACAAAAAAACTACAAAATCGCCCAACAAAAAAACTACAAAATCGCCCAACAAAAAAACTACAAAATCGCCCAACAAAAAAACTACAAAATCGCCCAACAAAAAAAACTACAAAATCGCCCAACAAAAAAAACTACAAAATCGCCCAACAAAAAAACTACAAAAACGCTTAACAAAAAACTACAAAATAGCCTAACAGCCAATTTTTGTCAGGAGCTTTCATGTACCGGAACCACGGGTGAAAATGTGCTGTTAGTACCGTGAAGTACTTCAAAATGTATTAATCGTTTGCGTAATTAATATAACTTAGCAACAGTAATATTCCCTGTTTTCTTATTAGACTTTAGACAAACTTTGTGTCACGGCCGACTGATGCCTAAACACTCTGCCTTCGTAACAGATATCATAAATAAAACCATTTTCATTTAGGGAATAAGTAAAGTTCTACCTTAGGAGAACATTATGGTGGAAATCTGAACAAACCATCTTTATATATTTATCAGGATACAATTAGAAGAAAAACTAGGATATTTGATCATTAATATTCTAAAATTTTTAATAGGTGTCTGAAATCTAGATGTTGTTTGAAGCATTTTCATTTGTCTTTTTATATACAAGAGTTCTTACCTTCTTGTACAGCCAGTAGCACGCGTAACGTTTTGGGCAGCTCCTTAATCCTATGTTCCCTGGAATACGACCCGCCAAATCGTTTAACAACCAGGTGCCCCATTCACTGCTGGGTGAACAGAGGCTACAGTTAAGGACTGGCGCCCAGACATTCTTCCCCGGCCAGGATACGAACCCAGGCCAAAGTGCTGGCGAAGCGCCGGGCGAGTCCTACCTTAGGAGGACTTAATGGGTGTCTCCCACTCATAACACAGTCTGACAGACCCATTAGTATTTGGTAGAATTATCCCATTCACAGACTCCATGTTCAGACCATTCCTGCAGCCCATCCTCCTCTTCAGATGCTACACTTCGTAACTATGTGCACCAGTGTAAACACTGACGAAAGGGACAATTAGATAGTCAAATGTGGTACTATTCACTTTATAGAGTGAGAAATAATAAAGCTAAAATTAAACCTAAATATTCCTATAGGCCTATACAGACGAGGAGTCACAATAACGTGGCTGAAATATGTTGACCAGACTACACACTAGAAAGTGAAGGGACGACGACATTTCGGTCCGTCCTGGACCATTCTCAACTCGATTGTGTAGTAGGCTTAGTATAGCACATATATGTACTATATTAGGCCTTGGATAGCGTGCATTAGGCCTAGGGAGGTTAGGTTAGTTTAGGTTGTCTTTGCAACATATATACAAAACCTTTTACGGTTTGTCCCAACACAATAGTAACGATTTCTACACTATACTTGGCCATTACGTCATACATATACTATCTTGAGGTTATCTTGAAATGATTTCGGGGCTTAGTGTCCCCACGGCCCGGTTCTTGACCAGGCCTTCACACCCCCCCCCCCCTAGGAAGCAACCCGTGACAGCTGACTAACTCCCAGGTACTTATTTACTGCTAGGTAACAGGGACATTAGCGTAAAAGAAGCTCTGCCCATTGTTTCTCGCCGGCGCCCGGGATCGAACCCGGGACCACAGGATCACGCGTC